AGATAAGTGCAGGCACAGACACATCCCCAAGCTTCTGACCTGCCCCCACCACCAGATCCCTCTGCAAGCACTGTAATAAATTCTTTAATAAGTTCTTGAAATGGGGTGATGCTCAGTCATAGAAGTTATGCAGAAGTGTCTGAGAAAGTTGAGAATCACTGGATTAAGTATAGGAGAGCACCCTGCATTCCAATCTCCACCACTGACTGCATCCAAAAAAAAAAAAAAAAAAGATGATGATGTTGTTAATACCAAGCTGATAAAAATATTTTTTGCTAAGAAGATCAATTAATGTTGCTATTTAAATTTTTTGGACCTCAAAAGTTACCATGAGGTCCTAAAACTCACCCAGACCTCACCTAGACTTGAAAAATGATATACCAAAAACCATATTAGTGGGGGGAAAAAACCCAGAACACATTTTTAATTAAATACCATCTAAAACATGCTTGCATTTTCAATAGATGGTGTCTAAAGCCTTTAAAAAAGCCCAAACAAACAAACAAAAAAACCCTCTACCTGTATTAAGTAATGGCACAGATGGCCTAATCTACACCACAGGCCATTTGGGTTATGTTAGAGTTTACTGATAAGCTATTTATGTTCTGTGCTGCATCATAATCATTGGTATACACATATTACCTTGCTCATTTGTACCTAACAGGATTTTATAGTTCCATTCCTTCCCTAGAGCTTGGCCAAAATGGACACTCAAAGAAATCATGAAATCACTGCACCTATCATATCAAGACAGAAGCAGTACCAATAGGGTAAACCAGAGAAAAATAACCAAGACGCAGAACCAGATTCAGGTGCGACGCATTTGTGCAGTGGGCTCCTGTGGATGCCTCCAGCATACTGGCTGGATGACTGCTCAACATTATTGATTGACTTGATACCATTTAGTAATTTATCTGTCTTAAACCTTGCTTTGCTCATTTTGCCAACACACGTCAGCGTAATGAAGGAGAGAGCTATGCCAACCTTTGCCACAATACCATATAGCCTGGGTATAACCCCTGGATTCTTCCCCTGACCTTTACTGTCTTCCCTCCCCTACAGTGCTCTCCATTTAAGTTCATCTCCATGGAATTAAAAATAGGCAATACATTTACCAGAGAGTATGCACTTACCCCAACTCAATGTAAACAAGGCCCATTAACTACAGACAGCACCTTGTGCTAATACTTTTGCACCTTCTTGAGGCTAATCACATTGGGAATTTTTATATGCGTTTCCAACACTGCACCAGTCACTTTTAAATTAGCAAGCTGTGCTAATTAAAAGCACCCACACATCACGTGCATCAATGGCACAGCACACCTCTGTGCTGAGAAAATGGGAGCAGTGTGCTTTGAACCAAAGCCCAAACATGTTTTAGCTGAAAGTGCACCGCTGCCATTTTCTCAGCACAGAGGAGTGCTGCACCCCTGATGCATGCGATGTGCGAGGAGGCTGCAAGAATGCATCAATTTACATGTTCCAGCAGATTCAATTAAATCGAGTCTACTTCAATGTGCTGTATTTCCAGCGTGTCAAAGCAGTCTCCCCACAAGTGTGTAAGTGCCCATTGTTTCTCAAAGTGTCTCAAGTTTCTAACAGAAGCCTTGAAATTGGCAGTACCTACTTAGTCATCTCAGGGTGGCTTGAGAAGCCCTGATGTTGAGGACTCCAACTGTTCAATTTAATCAAGTACAATTATGTTAACAGAGTAGACAGTGGGGCCCAACATTTCGCACTTAAGTGATTTGTGCACTTAACCAATATACAGATAACCACAGCACAAAAAAAATGCATGAAGTGATCATTTTTTAACCCACAGAATTGCCAGAAGACTGACCATTGCTTTCTAGCACTGAGTATGCAACTGTCATCTATACCTTGGAGTTCTTCAGGCTAAACATATAAAAGTAACTGCAAACTCCGATTCAGCTAACCAAACAACGTTAGGAATTTCTTCTATGAATTATTTCCAGAAAGGTTATGACCTAGACATAACCTATGTGGTTTAAGTTACTAGTGAATCAACAAAAACTTCAAATTTACTGGCTCCCAGATGTCCTAGAGACCGTCTTCCCCTCTCCACAATATTTAAGATTAGCTGGTTTACTCCTTCTTTAAGGGACACTAGCAGACTGTCGGGGGACAAGTAGGGACAATATTCTCAGGTGTGAACAATCTCTCTTTGAAGAGCTACTATACTACAAGATTTTATGACTGTCAAGTCAAGACACAATGTTCATTTTATAAAGAAACTGGTTACTTTAGTCTAAGTTTGTCCAATCTGTTCCAAAATTCATGAAAGCCTGTACATTTAAACTTGTTTAATATTAAGGTCAGCTGTGGTTTGCTAATGAGAATTAGAAAAATAAAGTCATTGCTACACCTGTTCCCTTTGGGAGGGAAGAGGAGAAAGTATGTAAATACATGTTTTTACATTTTTTTTTAATTAAAGTACAATGCTGCTATTCCCAAGAATAACAAGTACAAAAACGTACCTGATAGAAAACAATAACTGAGGTGTTCATTTTATTCTTTTGTTATAAGGGTGCTGATTAGAATATAAATAGAATTGCATTTCAATTTTCCATGCAGTGTTGCCTGTGGATCAACAATGCTTAAAGCCAAACAAAAAAAGGATAAAATATGTTGTGCTTTTTTTCCCTCTCTTTTTTTTTTTTTTTAAAAGAAAATCCAAAGATTTTCACCAAAAGACCCCATTTTTTCCTTCCACCCCACCCCACCCCATTGGATCTCTTTTGTTCATACTATCTTGCCTAGAAGACTTCAGAAGCTCATTAAGAGACCTGAACATTGTCACATGGGGTTTTAACGTGAATTCTCATATTCCACAAAGCAATACAAGGGAAGGATGCAACCAGACAGTATTACTAGATCTGTAGGAAGGTTTTGATTATTCTGAAGCTGCAGAATTTTCAAAAAATCCAGTACCTGCAAAATGGTGTGGTACAATTTAAGTTTTCTTTCAAAGGGGAAAGCAAGCAAATCACAACACAAGTTCTTAATTTTGTATTTGTACAGTATAAGAGAGGTGCGGTTGTCACTTTGAAGTATCCCCAAAATAGACTGAGAAAATTGAAGCATTACATTTAACTACTGTTAAGTCCACAGTAATTTACATGTCAACATTGTTAAATTCACTGCTAATTATTTTGACTAAAAACAGCCTGAACAGTTTACCCACTGTTATTAGATGCACTAGCACAGCTGAGACTATGCTGTCAGGTATTGCCAGGATGAACAAATGGCTAAAATATGGGTGCAGGGAAGTTTTAGAGATTAAGGTAAAATGCTATACTAACTGTTCATTATCACATGTAGTTCACAGTACACTATGGGTTTTTTTTTTCCATTTATACAAAACTACTGGAGTCACAAAACTGCAGAAACTAAGGCACATCATGAAGATTTGGGACCTGTCTGCACTGGACTGTGCCGATTCTTCTACAAGAAACTATCACAGTGTGCTGCATATTTAGTCTTTTAATTCCCACACTTCTCACTCACATCTTTCCATGGACCCCAAACAAGGAAGCAAAAGCAGTCTGAACCAATTATTTAAAAAAAAAAAAAAAAAAAAAAAGTGTTGATGTTCTTATTGCTTTTATTTCATCACAAGTTGAGAAATCAACTACCGTGTCCCTCCAGTACTTTCAGTTTGCTTCCTTGTCAATTACTTAAAGTTTTGTTTAAACTTTTTTTCCACTCTAATCAAATTGATCATCTCATCCACCACATTTAGTGAAACAAACATGTTGATATGCCACAACAATCAGTTCCCGGATGATGCAATATAATGTCATACACTGGACTCCAGGAGTAAATAACATAGGAAAGATAACCATTCCATTTTACAGGAAAAATAATGTTTTGAATACTTTTAGGCAGACAAGGTTCTTTGGGTGAATCTGATATCTTTTATTAGACCAAATGGTTGGAAAACAATTATTAAGCAAGCTTTCGGGTTCAAAAACCCTTAGTCAGGCTAAGGAAGTTTCTGCAATTGATGTGTGCTCTTTCTGGATGGAATGAAAAGTAGAGAAGCCAGAGGCTGGTCTGGTACGCATACAAGGTAGTCAGTGAAAATGTAGATTGACACCCTGGCTGAAGAAGTTTGTCCTAATATTGAGCCTGAAATGGTCTTCCAGGAGTTTGTGACCACTACTCCTGGTTTTCCCCAAGGGTACCCTGGTGAACAGTTGTTCACCAAGCCCTTGATGTAGCAGTAAACTGCTACTAACTCCCTTATCTGCCTTCTCTTCTTCAGACTAAAGAGCCCCAGGTACCTCAGCCTTACCTCATACGGCTTGCCACGCAAGTTTCTGACCATACAGATGGTCCTTCTCTGGACTCAAGCTTTTCCATGTCCTTCTTCAAGTGTGGCACCCAGAACTGGATGCAGTACTCCATCTGTGGTCTCATCAACGCTGAGTAGAGTGGAAGAATCACTTCCTTGGTTTTGCTGAAGATGTATCAATTGACACACACCAGAGTTTTATTTGCCTTGCTGGCTACAGCATCGCACTGCTGGCTCATGTTCATACTGTGGTCATTTATTACACCCAGGTCTCTTTTGTTTGTAGTGCTGGTCAGATTGGCGTTGCCAAGCCTGTACATGTGCAGGGGATTCTTTGTCCCCAGGTGGAGTACTTTACATTTCTCAATGTTAAACCTCATCCGATTCTGATATGCCCAATTTGCCAGCCTATCTAGGTCCACCTGTATTTGCAGCCTACCTTCAAGCACAATCATGCTTCCCCATAACTTGGTGTTGCCGAAACTGGAAAAACAAAACCCCAAACTAAAGGAGTTATTGGAAGATCCAACAAAACCTGGTTTACAGCACAGTCTATAGTAATCCAAAGGGGCACACCACCCCTTGAAAAACATTTTGTAAGATATTTTCTACAGTGTAAATTCTGTCAAATGACAGGACTAAAGTAGCTTAAGAGGCCAAAAGGTTCATGAGGTTCAATTACCTTTAACAAGCAGTTTATCTCGAACTGACACTCTCCGAGTAGAATCAGAAGCTGGATTGGATGCACGGGGCCCTTTGACACCATCATCCCGCTTCAGTTTGCTTGCCAGGGTTAGCATAACTGCTACCATCAATCTAGAAAGCAAGCATCAGAGAGACCGGTTAGCACACGTCAAAGTGCAAGACTACCAAAATAGTTATTAAAAAAAGTAAATAATTACGTAAAGTATTTTGAGTTCCAGATAAATGACAGTTCAGTGGTATCCATAGTATGCTACTCAGTGGCAGTAAAAGCCACTTGAAAAAGCCATTAAGGAAATGTTATTGTGCAAGACAACAAATTACTGCACCCAATAAAAGCCATTAATGTTTTAGGACTTCAGGTTAAGCACTGAATGGAATATTTGAAGTTGGGTTGAGACAAGTCCAGGTGTAAATATGGAGTGAACTGGCTTGCAGTGCATCAGGTTCTAGCACAGAATCAATTACAGCAGAGAAATTTCAGTAAGTTTCACTCTGCTATCAAGGAAATTTCTTCCTGTTAAATTAGCTAAACATACCACTTCCTGAACTTGTTATTTCTCCAGAATTTCAATAAAAGGGCCCATCTGAGTGATCAGAGAACCCTTAAGAAGTTGCAAATATGAAAAGAGCATGCATATCCATAGAGATCAAGGTGCAGGCATCAAAAGCTATATTCAGAAACAACTCTTCCTCCCAACAGTTCTGGCCATGCAGAACATCAGGGAAGGGGGATACCTTTGAATAGGAAGAGGTAACGCAAAAATCTCTGGTCCTGAGGCAGCTTTGACAATTACCAGTATCTACAGTGAACGGAGATACCATTCTCTGTTAGGTGCTCCTTATCATTATCACAGTAAATACCTAGATAGGTACAGAGGCTCAAAGATGGAAGTGATATTTTGTTATAGCAGTCCTCCCTGATAGGAACTAAGAAAGAGTTGCCCAGTAAGTCACTATCCAACCCCCCCTGCACAGAGTCATTTATTACATTAATAGGCAGCATATAAAGGTCAGTACTTGAAAATGCCAAAATGCAAAGCCAGAATGCACTGATAAAAAAAACAACAAGAAAACCTGAATGTAGATAATTGTTTTTTGCCAGCAGTTATGCCACCAAAAGGAATGGAAAAGCCAAAACATTGAGGCCCCCATTCCTGGAGGGGAGGCGAGGGTACATTCTTAAACTGCCATATATGAATTAACTAATTCAAGGTAGAGGAGAAAAAAATCCCAAGCCAGGACAGCTTGGGTCTTTACACAAGTTGTCAAGTTGAATAAAAAGTGACAGAAAAGCAGGAAGGGGCAGAATTACATAGGGCCTTTAAAATATTCTATAGGAGTATGAATTTGGAGTGGAAAACAGAAAGCCAACTGAAACCATATCTCTCTCTCTCTCTCTGTCAATGCAGTGGGAACACCATGGAGGCCAATCTGAGACGTGCTGTGAAATGAAGGATCTGGTAGAACCCCCTGCACATGGATGCGCGTTTCTTGTGAGCAGTTCACAAAACTGAACTTTATCAGATCCCTGCATCAGCAGCTTTTTCACCCTCTTATCACACTCATTCATACCACAAAATAAAAAGCCACTAGGGAAAAATCTTAGCCTTGCCAATTTGGCCAAGTCCACTGTAAAATCTTAAAGAAGCAATGTGGTTCGAGACTGGGATTTACATGCCTAACCTGAGAAGAACCTGAAAGTGCTGGTGCATTTGGTAAAGGAGCATACAAAATTAAATGAAAGTATTCAGAACAAAACTCAAAACACAACATGGCAAAGACATGTACCAGTAAGGTCATCTTAAAAGGGAAACAGTTTTCATAGTATCAGCTGGCATTCTGTACTGATAAGAAATGCAAGAAGGTTGAAAGCACCAAGATAGAAAGATCTGGTACTAGGCTACCAACTCAGACTAGACAAAGCCATGTATCCAGGGCAAATATAAATCTAATTAAGGCAAAGTAAGCCAGGCAGAAGGGAAATTCACTGGTTCCCTCTCTGGAACAGAAGAAGGGACAGAAAACAGTCCAAGCAGCTGTGCTCCTTCAGTGCAGAAAGGGGGAAGAGAAACAAGCTCGAAGGAGGTTCTACTTTTAAGGCCAGTGGGATGGAAGACCAGATAAGCTGGGGCACGTAGGCCTGCTCTTACAGGGCCCTTGTTTCAAAGCTCAGCTTCCAATTGCTGTAATTTCAATGGGAGTTATACACCTAAACACCTTTGTGGACCTGGCTCCTGCTGCTTTGCACCAAAGCACAAGAGCACAGCAGAAGGCAGGGAGGAGTCACCTCTACCAGCAAAGAGATGTAGGTAACCACACTGGTCTGAAGTCAGGCAGAAGGCAAAGGAGAGATGCATCTTATGGACTAACTCAGTGGTGCTCTGGTTTTTCGCCCCAGGGGCCAAACGAGGGCTGATCCCTGTGCACCTGGATAGGGTCTGGGTGCCACGTGTGAGGATCTGCTCCTGGCATCCTGCCCCCCTTGCCAGCCCCAAGAGCCCAGTGTGGCAGCAGGGGAGCAGCAGCTCCAAGTTCCCAAAGGGAGCGGGGCCCTGTGAGCCAAATGATGCAGTTCAGGGGGCAGCTGCTGGATGAACCCGATCAGAGGCAGGAGTGTTTGTGTTTGTCCGCCTCATCGGCTGCGCCTGCCAAGGTGCTGAAGCAGAGCAAAGATCTGTGCAAGTGCCCGACCCAGGGGCAGGGAGAAGCCGGGGTCCCTGCGGGGGTTAGACGAGAACCCAGAGCCGCCCTGAAGAGGGAGGGGGCCAGAGGGGCGCGGAACAGAAACTGGCGCCCCTGGGAGGGGCAGCGCGGGGCCCCCGACCCGGCCGGTCCAGGGTTGTGGCCTCCCGCCGGCCCTGCCTCTCAGATCACCGCGGAAGCCGCTGCCTAAAAGCCTCGACGGCGGCTCCCCCCACCCCAGCCCGCCCGCCGGGGGCGGCCCCGAACCGGAGCAGCAAGGGAGAGCAGCTGCCGGCGGGCCAGGCCGGGCCGGGCCGCGCTCACCTGGCCGCCGCCTCAGGTCCCGGCTCCCGCCGCAGCGGCCAACACCATCCCCGCGGGACCCGAGCCCGGAGCGGGCCGCGGCCTCCTCCTACCTCAGCGGCTGCAGAGCCGGAAGTCGGGGGCGGGGCTGGGGGCGGGGCCGGGGCGACACGGCCGGATTCAGTGTTTGCAACAAGAACTTTATCAGCACTGCGCAGCAGTGCACGCACGGCAGCCTCTAGGCTGGGAGGACTGGAGGGGACGAGTCTCGTCCCGTGCCGCGATCTTGCGTGACCGGCCAAGACTTTCCGCGTGCTTTTCCCTCGCGGGCGGGGGGCAGTAGAAGCTGTCGCTATTTAAAGGAGCAGCGCGGGGTGGTGCGTTCTGCCGAGTCACCGTGACTCAGCACTGCCGGGCTGCGGGGGGCGCACAGAGCTGTCCGGCTTCTCCCGCCCGCGCGGGCCTCTCGCCCTCCCCCCCGCTGCAGGGCTCTGGACAGGGGTGCGCGCAGCACGCACGTGAACACCCTCCCTTTCGGGGCAAAGCAAAACCACACGGGCGGGCTCGGCTGAATCAGGAAGGTAACTGCTTCCCCCAGCGCTGCCGCAATGGAAAGGCAAATGTTCCTAGGTAGTCGGTTCCATAGTTTAGATGGAGCAGGAACCGGAAGTCGGGGGTGTAGCTGCACCACTGCCCTCCCGCCGGGCCCACCCCAGCTGCAGCCCTCTGCTTGGGCTTCTGACACCGAGCGCAGCCTACGGGCCCTGACGGGCAGCTCCCGCAGGCTTCTTGTGTTTTGTCCTCCCCGGCCCACTCCCACTGTTTTATTCAGACTGCAGTGAAGGAGTGCTTGTACATGCAACAAAACTGGCCTTTAAAGTGGCTTGATTGCCCTTTCGCACCGCTTTAATGGCATTGCTGTTTACACGTTCGGAGGTGTATTTTGCTTTAAATGACTTGTGTAGCAAGGGAAAACCCCTCGGAGGTATTTTAGTTTGCTACAGAACAAAATGCAACAGGGTGCTGAAAGCCAATGTGCTTGGGCTTCCAGCGCCCCATGCACCATTCCCACCGCCAGCACACCCAGCCGCCCTCCTGCCACCTTGGTGTACTGTCCCGGGGGCAAGCCAGCCATTCCTGAGAGGGCCCAGGCGGTGAGAAGGCAGCAGGGACGGGCGCTGGAGCCTACCTGCCTCTCCCATGGTGAGCGGAGAGGGGGTGGCAAGCAGTCTCTGAGCTGCAGGAGATCCCAGTCCTTCCCTCCATGATGGCAGCACCTTCCAGGTGGCCCCTGCCCACTAGCACCCAGCCCAGCGGAGAGATAGAAAAGAGCCTGCCTGCCTGAGCTGAGTCAGGTCTGGTGCTGCCCTCCATGGTGGCAGCAAGTCCCAGGCAGCACCTGCCTGCTAGCAGATCACCCAGGTGGTCCCATGGGATGCTGTTGCCACAGAGGGAAGCATGGGGCCTTGCACAGCTCAGGCAGGGAGAGTGGGGAAAAAAAGATCAGGCTCCTTGACACTTTTTTCCCTTCAGCTGAGCCTGCCTGCACAAGCTGCCACTGGGTCACACAGCCCCCAAGATGTGCGAGTCCCGGTCCTTCCCTCCACAGTGGTGTCACCCCCCAGGTGCTAGCAGGTGGGTGCTGCCTGCAGGGCACCCTGCAGGGAAGGGAGGGAAGGACCAAGTTCCCCTGCAGCTCAGGGACTGCTTGGCCAGTTGCTGGCAGCTCGTCCCTCCCCCCTGCCGCAGGAGAGGCAGGGAAAAAAAAAAAAGGATTGGGCCCTTTCACCCTTGTACACATAGTGGAGGTTTCATTCGCCCTAAATTGAAATGGTGGGTTTTTAAATGACACAATTAAAAACGCATTGTTTCAATGTGGGGAGAACGAAACCCCCATCACCTGAACAAGCACCCCAGGCTACTAGGTCGACTTGGTGTTATGTTACTGGTGAGTACCTGGAGAATGGGGCTCTGATCCTCAGCTGGCATTGGAAGGGGTGACTAGAAGATAAATAAAAACTCTTTTCTTTCCTGGCAAATTGTAGGCTCTCCATCAGGACTCCTGAATAGTGTCTGGAACTGGAATAGAGCCATACTATCTGGAGAATGTAGCCTATCCTTGTGAGAAAGAAGCCCTAGTGATAATTACATTCAACTTCCAGGTAGTTGTGTGAAACTGGAAGGAAGTCAAAATGGAAATGGAGGTGTTTTGTGATGGAAGAATAAACTGAGGCTGCCACAAAATTCCGCAGTTGCTGTAACAGCCTTTTTCCCAGCATGTATGGGACCGAATAGATTCCTGATAGATCTAGATCCCCCTTGGTTCAAGGGCCTTGAGATCTCTGGCTGAGCCACCTTAGAACTGGCCAAATAAATTGAAGTGCACCATTTAGTAAACTGAATCTATTATTCACTTGATCTATTCTCTATTCTCTTTTTCCCCCTACTTCCTCATTGCATAAGCATAATTTACTGTCAACAGTAAAAACAAAAAGCCCTAATGCTCCCATCAGGCGCTACTTGTGCCAACTGTCATACAAATCCAAATAAGCATGTGAGTTGTTTTTAAGAAGTGTCTGAACAAACTAGATTGAGGAAAGAAGAAAAGCACTGTTGCTCTCATTTTATAGATGAAGAATAGAAGAAAAGATTAGGTGACATGCTAAAATGCAGTAAAGAACTCCATGTCACAACTGAGACTCAAACCCAGGTCTCCTATGTTTGGTACATGTTTTTTAGAGCTGTTGATAAAACTGGTGTTTTTATTGTTTCAAACTGAGCAAAGTAATTTCATTTGAACATTTTCAGTTGAAAAATATCTACAGCTCCTCATTCGCCCAGACGAATCGAATTAAGATGAAACAAAGTACTATTTAAAGTTGACATTTGGAAAATAAAAGGAAATTGTTATTACTTCTCCTCCAGGAAAAAAGCTAATGTTTTTAGTTAGATTAGACATTTTCTGTATGAAGAAAATCAGCATTAATGAATCTGTATTTTTCAGGACAGAGAGAAATTTCAGCACAGAATATTGTAACTAGCTGTAGTGTTTTGTTGTAACCTTTTAAATCAAAACAAAAATCCTATCAATCAAAAGCAGTAACCACAGACTAAGACAGCACTTCATGCCACCCCACCCCTTAATGCGGATTGGCGGAGAGTTCCTGGCAGGGGATGTAAAGGACAAGGGGGCAGCCATCATCTTGTCTGCTGCCTTTTGTACCACACCACCACCAGCCAGCAGCTTCCCTTCTCTGCCTACACAAGACATTTACTGTGGGGTAGACTACTTAGCTACACAGTAAATGTTGAACATCTACACGTGTGCCCCTATTAGGCTGGAGTGAACTAATGCTGCGGCAAGGTAGCACTTGTAAATATAAGTACTATCTTGCTGCAAAGCATTTGTACTCTGCAGCGGTGCATGTGTAGACACTGTCCCAGCTGCCTGGAGCACAAGGTTGCTTCAGTATGGGGACTGCCTGCTGGGTAGTAGGGCGGTACAAAATTTTGCCGGCTGTTTCTATTCGACACTGTTTCAACTCATTCCAAGCTCAAAACAGCTAAATTGAATTGAAACAAAGGGCTTTGAAACAGCCTTGAAAGAAAACAGGCTAGTTGAAATGTTTGAAAATGTTTTGAGTTTCAAAGCACCCAACAGCCAGGTGGTGGGAGACAGGGGCTTCCAGCCCCATGTGGCTCAGCTGGGCAGGGAGCACAGCCCTGGCTCTCCCTGCCTCCCTCAGCCAGGCTGTAGCCAATCACAGCACAGGGGAAGGGAACTGAACCTGGGCTCAGTTCCCTTCCCCAGCACTACAATCAGGCTGGGGAGAAGAACTGAGCCCAGTCGCTCAGCTCCCCTCCCCAGTCCTATGATCGGGCTGGGGAAGGCAACTCAACCCAGCTAAGCTGAGTTCCCCTCCCCCGTGTTAGACGGTGCTGGGGAGGGGAACTCAGTGCAGCTGGGCTGAGTTCATTTCCCCAGCCTGATCCTAGGGCTGGGGAGGGGATCTCAGCAATTGGGCTCAGTTCCCTTCCCCAACTCCCCGTCCCAGGCAGCAGCACCCAGCTTCCCTCCCTCATCTGGCAGGCAGATCAAGGGCCCACAGCCCTGGGAGGACTAGCACAGCTCCTGCAGCCCTCCCAGGATTGCAGGCCCCCCCCATCTGCCTGCTGGATGAGAGAGGCTGTTTCAAGCTTCCCCATTATAGCATATGGGTGAAACGTCAAAACAGCACCACTGTATCGACGAAACAAAACAGAACAGCAGTTTTGAATCAAAATGAAATTCGAAATGAAACACTGTTCCATTGAAACCTCTAAACTCAAGTCAAAACAGAACAGTGCCATTTCACACAGACCTATTGGCTAGCCCTGCACTGGAGCACCCTTGTGCCCCAGCCAGCCCTTCTGCAGCACATTCAGCTAAGTGGGGGGAAACAGCCCTGGGTTGGCAGGCCAATCCCCAGGGCCTCCTGGGGCTACTCTGACCTGGCTCAACATGCTGCAGTCCCACTTGCACGTTTAAACAGTGCTCCTGAGAGTGATAATCCAGTTTTTGCTTTGCATAATTGCATGTGTAGACGCACCCAGTGTAAAGCCTCCTGTTCACTGTTCAAATCCACTGCTTCAGAACTGTATCAGTCCAGTATTAATTATAGCCTAAACAACTACCTACAAAGGAAGAATAAGAGATCCTCCAACTTAAAAAGGATTAAGCAATGGTAAAGCCTAGGAGCAAGGAAAGTTTGGTAAATATATGTTAAAATAATGTCCATTTTAACATTATTGCAAATGACACATTTCTCAGATCTTGTGCATGCTAGAAAAAAATGCACCAATTTCAATACAAATTTTTTAAAAATCTAGTTAAACCACTGCAAAACTATAATATAGATAAACTTACTAGTTTAACTCTCACACTTCACTACTACAAAACAATAGTGGTGTTTAGAGCTAGTGCAAAAGTTTATTTTTCCCACAACAATTTTTTAAATTGCAGCAGTTTGTTCGGTTCAAACCTGTTCATGTAGAGCATTGCTAGAGTGTAGCAGCCAAATTCTCCAAAGATTCTGTCCATGCTGAGCATGCCCCTACTTAGGGCTGCATGGGCTGAGCAGGACTTTTCTTTTACTTGTTCCT